GGCACGGCACAGATCAGGTGGGACAGGAGGTCCTTGCTCTGTGGGAAGCTGTATTTGCACTGACACATGGTTTTTGGAGGGGTGTGAAGCTCCAGGCTCTGACAGGACACAGGGATCCTCTCTGATGGGAGAAGACAAGTTGAATTTCACGAGATGCAGAGGGAGGGAGTTAGTTTCCAAAGGTGGCACAGGGAATCTCTGGAAAAGCAGAGTTTGGAGGGCTCATCATTACAATATTTCTGGGAAGCTTGACAAGGCTGTGGAAATAATCCAAATTTGCCAAGCTTTCCCTCAGCAAGCTGCACCAGGGGCTTCCAAGGCCAGTCTGTGAGATGGCCACTGTGACTGTATCACACTGGCCACGATCCAGATTGGAAAACCTCCAGAGGCTTGGATTGATAAGGCATAAGATAACTAGATTTGAATTCCTGGGTGTAAGGAGATAAAGGATTCATGAGAACTGGCATGTCATCTCATGACTTGGGACAAGAGTCATTCCCATACCTGAGGACAAGGGAGGGGTGCTCAGTGACAGAAGGGATTTTAAAACACTTGTTGTGCTGGAACTCTGTGAGAAGACCCAGGGGGAAAGGGGAGATGTGTTGTTATAGGACATGGAAGAACACGTGCACACTGCTGTTCTCAAGGTGAAGAAAAAAGGGAAGTTTATTTTCTTACTCTAACATTTATAGTTTTCTAAGAGTGAGAGTGGATTGGAGGGTGACAGTGCCACCTCTCCAATGACACTGGACAGACTAACAGTCTATCAACTGTCTCCTCCGCTATAAAGGAATGCAAAACAATGAGTTATTTACAGAAAGTATGTAAGAAAGTTCATTATAAGAATGCCAACATCAGAAGGCTTAGAAAAACCTCAAAAAACAGAGGGACAGAGATGATGTGTGCTATGGCTGTGGTGATGTGCTTTGAGCCTTGGCCCTGCTCTGTCTCCTGAGCCACCTTCAGACCTTGCTCTGGGGAAGGGGGCAGCTGCACATTTGGAGTCAGGTGGAGATAAATGCAGCTGTGCCCGATAAATGCAGCTGTGTCTGATAAATGCAGCTGTGCCCAATAAATGCAGCTGTGTCTGATGAATCCAGCTGTGTCTGATGAATCCAGCTGTGTCTCTGGGATCTCCCTTTTTGCAGCACAGGGGGCTGTGTGGACCTTTCTGCACAAGTCCCCAACTCTGTCCCCTCTAAGGGAAGGAGCTTTCAGGCAGGACAGTCGCAGTCCCATGGTGACAGCACTCTGTGCCCATCCTGCCAGAGGCCACAGGCACCTCCTTGTGTCACTGTGAGCCAAACCTCCCTGTTCTTTGTGCAGAATGGGGCTCACAGAGCCTCTGGTGCAGCCCAGCAGCTGCACAAAATAAATCCCACATCCCCCAGACCATGCTCAGCACAGGGTGGAAAGGATGGAAGAGCTGTGGTGATGGCCGAGGAGCATGGAAATGTCGCTTCTTGAGACACAACTTGTTTTCTAGTGCAAAAAACCAAAAGTACAGGGATTTTTGGCAGATGTAACCACAGGTTACGTGCTCTGCTCACAGCCTGGTGATGAGGGTTTAAATTGATGGATGTAATCAATGTGAGTGCAAATGATAATATTTAAGTCTCAGATCACTTTGTTTTCCAAGCAGATAGTTTAACATGAACTCATGTTTTGCAGTTTGCACCACTGGGAGTTACAGGTGAAAAATCCCTGCTGCAGTTCTCAGTAAATGAGATATAAAACCTACAGAGCTGCTGGAAATGTGTAAGCCTTCCCAAAACCAGATTTTATTTAAGTTTTAATTAAATTAATGAAAAAAAGTTAAAAATTAGAAACATCAATTTGGATGTGACAGAGTGGTGTAGGAAAAGCTGAAACCTGTGTGTTGCTGCATCTCCTGGCAGCACAGCTCTTCTGAAAGTGCTGATCTTTGGGTACACACTGAACCAGGGACAAAGAGCCATATTTAGAGGAAAACCCTGTCTTGGAGTTAAGTTCAGGTTTGGCATTTCTATGCATGGAAAGCCAGTGGTGGGTGGAATTGTCACATTTGTGACTCTAAATCACTTCACAATTCAGAACTGGGAATCCCCCTCTTCTTCCAGGTGTTGCCTGGGATTTTAAATGCTCAGTTCCCACTGGTGAAATCTGCTCTGGATCCAGGGTTTTTGTGGAAAGGGAGGTGGGAAAGCACCATGAGAAAGGCTGGTCAGGAGGGATGGCCATCAGGTCAGCTCAGAGGGGATCAGGTTGTCCTGTCTGCAGGACTCATACACTCTGGGATGTCTGACTGTGTGCTGAGGCTGTTCCATCATGTTCACAACTGGATTTGCTTGGATGGGTCAATGCAGGGGGAATTTCCAGCTGCAATGCGCCTGTCTCTGTGAAGAAGGGCTTTCTGTGATAGAGCAGATGGTGAGCTGTGGGTCTGAACTGAGACACACAAGGCAGGAACACTGGTCCTGCTCCAGCAGAACCTTCCCAAGGTGGTGGGGTCTCACACAACTCCTGCCAACTCCTCAGAGCCCACATTAGCAGGCACTGCTGATGGATGATGGCAGCAGGGGGGTTTTACCCAGCAGCACAAACCGCAACAAAGAGCTGGGATTTGCTCTTTCCACATTTCTGGGAAGAGCCCGCCTGCATCTCCCTCCCTCTCATTTCCATTTGCAGGTCGCTGCTTCCAAGGGCTGATGGAACCTGCAGCTGTGATGCTGAGCTTGGTGGTGGCTCTGGTGGGAACATGGACCTTGGGGGGTGAGTGTAATATTTGGGATGGGGAACCCAAGGGGAGATCCTATGTGGTTGATGTCCCTCATGGGAATTTCCTCTGAGCCACAGGACATCATTTCAGAGCACCCTGCTCTTGTGGAGGTGTCTCTGCCCAGGGTGAATGGAACCAGGTGGAGTTTATGGTCCCTTCCAACACAAATTCCATCAATTCTGTGATGCAGCTTGTGAGGAGATAAGAAAACAATTGGAGCAAAGTGCAGGTGGAGGGACTGCCCCATGGCAGCTGAGCACGCAGCTTGTTGGCTGGAGCTGGAAGTCTTTGCTAGTATTAGCAAAATAAAAAGTAAAAGTAATAAAAATTAATATGAAGGAAATAAGGCTGATGCAAAAGGGTCAAGTATTTCCTTGACTCCCATGGACTTTGTAGGGGTCAGAAGAAAGGAGAGGTTTCTGACCCAGTGAGACAGAAGGAGAAAAGGAATGTCTTTTGGGATTAGACTGGTGGTGGCCACAAATTGATCTGGGAACATCGGAATCACAAGCATGAGTTTCTAATTTTAGCTATTGTCCCTCAAAAGGAGTGCAAAACTTGCCTGAAAACCTGCATAACTGGGAAGTCTCAGAAAGAATATGGGAAAAAAAAAATCCCAATATAAATATAATCCTCTAGTGCTGATGCATTCATGCTTTTTCCTTGCTGCTGCTGAGGTGGGTTCTGTGTGTTGCAGGAGCCCAGGAGAGCATCTCGTGGGAGGTGCAGCGCTACGATGGCTGGTACAACAACCTGCTGCACCACAGCCACGGCTCTGTGGGTGAGTGCCAGGGGTGCCAGGGTGGCATGGGCACCGTGAGCTGCCCCCTGGGCACTGGGCTTCCTGACAATCTACCGGGCTTGCTGGTGTTGGATCAGTCCCAGAGCAAAGCTTTGTGCCTTTGTGAGATAGCTCAGAATAGACCCAGCCCTTTTCAGCAGGTGTTTCTGTGGTGGTCAGGGATCCCAGAGCTGGGAAAAAAAACATCTTTAGCCAAAATCAGCACGCAGTTCAACAGGGATCCAACACAAGGCAGAAGAGCTCATGGTCCAGGCATGTGATGGTGTTCACAGGGGTTCTTGGATGAGGTAAGAGAAGATCTGACCCCATGTTTCAGAAGGCTTGATTTATTATTTTATTATATATATTACACTAAAACTATACTAAAAGAAGAGAAGAAAAGGATCTCATCAGAAGGCTAGCTAAGAATAGAATAAGAAAGAATGATAACAAAGGTTTGTGTCTCAGACTCTCTGTCTGAGCCAGCTGACTGTGACTGGCCATTAATTAGAAACAAGCACATAAGACCAATCACAGATGCACCTGTTGCATTCCACAGCAGCAGATAACCAATGTTTACATTTTGTTCCTGAGGCCTCCCAGCTTCTCAGGAGGAAAAATGCTATGGAAAGGATTTTTCATAAAAGTTGTCTGTGACACAGGCATGCTGAACCTTTGATTTTCTGCCCTACAGAGAGGTGATACCATGTGCTGGGAGAGGCATTTGGGATTTCCCTGTGCCATTGGTGAACTGTTTCCTCATGCTACAGCCATGGGCTCAACTCTAGATGTCCCTGAGCCAGGGGCCAGGACAGATCAGGCAGGATCTTACTTAAAACACTGAAGATTCTGAATCCTCATTTCTGGCAGGTTGGTCACTGCTCTGGTGACACACTGGCTCTCCCACACGACATGTGTGTCACCAGCCTTTAGTAACACCAAAGCCTGACAGGAAAAACCAGCCCTGACAGACCAGGTCTTCTTCTTCTAGAGTAGACAGATCAGACTTTAACTTTTGGAAACCAATATGCGGAAACTAAGCCACAAACTAGGGCAGGAATTCAGGATTTCCCCCAGTTCTTGGGAGCTCCAGTAAATGGTGACAAGGCTTTTAAAAGCAGTGAGAAATGACCAGGAGGCCTCTGGGCCTTTCAGTTTTGGGACCAGCAGTGCGCGCAAAATCAGGGTGTTTCTCTCTCATCTTCACACTTGTCTCTGGCTGTTCCCTTTCCCGTTCCCTATGGTGCTGGAAAACACCACATTTCTGAAGGATTACACTGTTAATATGGGACAGCTCAACAGCACTCCAGTTACCCACTGGAGCACCATCCCAGACCTTCAGGAGGCAGCAGGGAAGCACAGGGACAAGAGAAGGACAACTGGAAGAGAGGAGGGTCTCTCCTGGATTTAAGTGTACTGATTCCACTGTTGCAAGCAGTTTTGGGCGATGCCACCAAACCTTGCATGTTCTTGGCCACTCTGAGAACCCACCCTGTAACAGACATCTTTTATGAAAAATCCTTTCCTTAGGATTTTTCCTCCTGAGAAGCTGACAGGCCTCAGGAACAAAATGTAAACAATGATTATCTGCTGCTGTGGAATGCAACAGCTGCATCTGTGATTGGTCTCATGTTGGTTGTTTCTAATTAATGGCCAATCACAGTCAGCTGGCTTGGACTCTCTGTTCGAGACACAAACTTTTGTTATCATTCTTTATTATTTTATTCTTAGCCAGCCTTCTGATGAAATCCTTTCTTCTACTCTTTTAGTATAGTTTTAATATAATATATGATGCTGGCAAGGGGGGCTATTTACAGACTATGAACGAGACAAGGCTGCTATGGAAAGCGCCTCGAGCTGTTTATTTTTCAGCATCAGCCTCATTATGACAATGGGAAGACACTAGCAGCTCACAATCCAGGCAGCAGGCCAAAAAACTTAATGTTACAACTTACTTTATAAGCTTCTTGATCAATCACACAGAGCAAAAGCATATTGACAGTGGTTCTATCCAATCACCACAAGCACACATACCTTTAGTTAAAACAACGCTTGTATTTAGAATATAATACCTGCTTGTAAGCTTTAAAACACAATGCACAGAGCTCCATTATTAAGCTTTAACCTTCCTAATATCTTGCTAGATAAACTTTTCTGCAGCTTAGAGAGCTATTCAGACAAGCATTAATACACAGGCCATTGTCCTATTTGCCCTTGCTTTTCTACAGTTTAAATAATTTTTCTGCTGACCTAACTCATGGCTGCTGCTTTAGCTCTGCTCACAGTTCTGCTGTGTCTTAGGCCTGGCTTTTGCAGCTTTCCCCAAAACCCTCTAATTTTGTGGATTCCCACAATTTATATCATAAAACAATAAATCAAGCCTTCTAAAACATGGAGTCAGATCCTCATCTCTTCTCTCATCCTCAGACCCCTGCAAACACGGCCACACCACGCTGTGCTCTCACTGTCCTCTGGCTCCTGAACGCACATCCCCGTGTCCTGCCATGGCTGGGCAGCACAGGACCCACGTTAACCAATCTCCCCTGTGTGTTTTGGTGCTGCAGGAGCCAGGCTGCTGCGTCTGCTGCCGGCACATTTCGCGGACGGCGTGTACCAGGCGCTGCA